CCAGGCTCACATTCGCACTGATGGTGGGTGGAACCACAGCACCAAACTGTACCACTAGCCACGCAGTCTTCACCACCACGCACTTGTGATTGAAGAAAATTGTCAGTGTCACTTAAGAATATTCTTGAAAAAGAAGTAAAGATTATTAATTTTATTAGAGAGAGTGATCTGAAGAGATTTTGCAATGATATATTACATCTCATTAAGAAGAGGTGAGCATAATGCTGGGGCACGGATGGTGGGTACAGACTTAAAGATGAGTTTTGCCTACTGCATGGTTTTATCTTGGATTGACTTTGATGTGGTCTATACTCTGTTTAAAAAACAGAGAGCAAATGCCTGGACCCTTTCTTTTATTTATAATCTTCAGAAGTATTCTGTTAAATTGTTATAAATATTATATCACAAATTCCCTTTATTTCCTATCAGCAAATACTTCTTTAGGTATTAAAAGATGATATGCAAGTTCTACAGTGTAAGAAGCTCTTGAGCAAACTTTAAGAAAAATATGTTTAACACTTGTATTGCCAAAAAAAGTTTCTGTGTAGGGAGAAACTTTCTGGGAAGACTCACATTCACATTTAGAATATCATTTTAAGCAAAACTCCGGAAAGTGCTAACAGGCATGTGTGGGTGCTGACTGACTTCAAAGGCAAAGGAAGGTGGGAAAGCTGGAGATGCCCTCGGCTGGGACCCAGGAGGTGGAGCTGATCTGGGCTGACGGCTGACTGGCTGGGAGGCTCTGCCCAGTGTTTTTCTTTCTTGACCTCTGTTTCTTAGTATGTGTGTATATTTGAGAGGGTTGGACTTAAAGATCTCAGAGGTTTTTTAGGCTCCAAAATTCTACTCTTAGTTTCTTTTCTTGTGTTGTGAACTTTTGCCTGGTCTCAGTTCTCACTCTATTGGACTACATGACTTGGCACTACTGACAGCAGTCTCCTTCTAAAAACTCCATCCCTGGATTTTAAGGTGAAAACAACTCAGGAACTTGTTCCTTTTTTTTTTTTGACCTTTTTGAGACTGGCCGCACTGCACTCAGCCAGTGAGCGCTGTGAGCGCACTGGTCAACCCTATATAGGATCTGAACACGCGGCGGGAGCGCTGCTGCGCTCCCAGTGCCGCACTCTCCCGAGTGTGCCACAGGCTCGGCCCAGGAACTTGTTCCTTTTAACTGGCTGGCACACAGGGCTCATTCCCGGAGCTGTCTGCAGCACTCTCTCTCTCTCTCTCTCTCTCTCCTTCAAATAGCTGGCAATTTTTAGTGTCTTCCATCAGCCTCTTTACAATGATAATTTACAAATCTCTACCTCTAGGCCATATAATGCCACATCACAAAATGGAAAGTACATGGATTTGGGGGGTTTTTTTGGTTCCTTTTTTTTTTTTTATGTGACCGGTAAGGGGATCGCAACCCTTAGCTTGGTGTCGCCCGCACCGCGCCGGCCATCCCTATATAGGTTCCAAACCCGTGGCGGGAGCGCTGCCGCACTCTCCCGAGTGAGCCACGGGGCCGGCCCTGGATTTGGGGTTTTAACAATACTTACAGAGGTTATTTAACTCAGGACTTTGTGAAGACTATTGGTAATAACTTTTCCAATTTTACAAACTAAAAAGCACAGGATGAGAGAAGTCAGACTAATTACCCACCCAGCTACAAAATTGGGACCAAAATTACCAGGAGAGTGCTCAGTCCTAATACAGAACAGATTTCAATAAACTTTTCTTAAAGTATTCTTTGGAATTCCTGCCAGGTGGGGTATTAAAAGAGACAAATATTCTGAATAAGTACTCAGGGTTGGTAGTTACCTAATGCTTGCTTTTCATAGCTTACTTAACAGCCCTTCTAAATAATTATTCAATTGTCCACTAAGTACATAGTTGATACAGCCCATATATTTGCTGCAGAATAAAACAAACAAGAAAAGACTGAACAACCTGGCCTTTTCAAATGGCAACTCAGAGTCTCTCAAGTAGACAGGCTGCCTTAGAGGATATCAAAGTTTGTATGAAATGGGGCCGGCCCGGTGGCGCACTGCTATAGTGTGTTGCTTGGGAGCGCGGCGGCGCTCCCGCCGAGGGTTCGGATCCCACATACA